ACCAGATGAACTAATGTTCTATCAGAGGCCTTTCTCACCTGGACGCTGTGGCCCTATCATCTGGATTCTTTTTCCCTCTCAATTTTGGCTTGGCTTGCCAGAGGTCACATTTTTTTCCTTCTCAGAAAGCTAAATGTGAATCCCCACCCTGCTTTATCTTTTGTGGCCAGAATGTGATTGGAATGTGAGCAATGGAGAAAAGTGGGTTGAACATTCACGGGAACTACTGACTATCTGATTGTCTCCTTTTAGACAAGGGCCATCTCTTTTTCCCAAAGAAGTAGTAATAACCCAAACCTGGACCTGTCGAGATTTTTATTGAGCAGCCTCATCCACAACATATCCTTTGTTATTTTCATTTATCATTTCGTTAACACCTCATGCCTGCCCTATCCCACCTACACACACTTTCTGCCGGGAACACACAGGCATGTGTGCGTGCTGGATTTAGACATGCTGGATTCTACATGGCCTCCTGAGTATTCTGCGTCCTGGACATCCCATCATTACTATGTCCAGGGATGCAGCAGAGAAGCGTGGCTAAGATCTTAGACGGCCTGTCTTCAGATCCTGCCTCCACCTTGGTCAAATCACCTGTAAAGTAGAAGCAGTAATAGTAGCTACCTCGTAGTTGTTGGGAGGGACAAATGAGTTAATGCTGGTAAAGCACTAGAACAGAGCCTGCAATGTAGTGAGAGCTCAATTAATGTTAGCTGAATCTAAATCCAAATTGCTTCCAATCTTCAAAGACCAGATAACATCTTACCTCTTACACAAAATCTTCTCTGCCTAGCCTCATCCAACCCACAAAATCTCTTACTTTTTTGAAAGAATAACACAGATAGAGAGACTATCTTGATATCTGGGTTTAAATCTTGAAACAATAAGTGCTGTGGGACTTTGAGGAGTTTAAGTCTTAGTTTTGTCATCTGTAAAATGGGTATTATAGTATTATAATACCTTAATAGGGTTATTAGGAGGTCCAAGTAAGATGAATGCTTAAAAAGTCCTCATACAGGTCCTGACTCATGGTAGACCCTCAATAAATACACATGCTCTTTCAAAATATATCATTTAAAATTTTATGGATTGTGAAAGTGCAGGTACATGTAGATGGGCTTGGAAAGAATTGTATAGAAAATTTAGATGACATAGCACTGTATATAAAGAAAATTAAAATCCTCTCATAAACATCTTTCTGGAGCAACAATTTCCCCAGCCAGTAACTCCTACTCTGGAACCTAAACACAGCGGGGTGTATTCCCTTTAGCCTCTCTGTCTGTCTCTCTATCTGTGTGTGTGCAGGCATGCATTCAAGCAGACATGCATATTTAGAAAAGAAAGGAATCCTATTATATACCAATTTTGCAGTCTGCTTTACTTTACATAGACATTTCTCCATCTCATTTAATATTTTTCAAAGTGATTTTGATGGGCCATATAGCATTCCATGTACATCTAAACAATCTAAACATAACTTGTTTAGCCATGACCCTATTGCCCTATTGCTGGACATTGAGGTTTTCTTTAGGTTTTAGCTATTCTGAATAATGCTGCATCAAATATCTTTGTATACGAATATTTTAAGTATCTTTGATTACTTTGCCAAGAGAAATTCTTAGGACTAGAAATAGTGGGTCCCAAAAAACACACATTAAAGGATGCAGGTGCATATTGCCAACTTTGGCCTTACTGAAAGGTTGTATAAATTACATACATATCAACAGTGACCAGAGGTGCCTATCACATGTCACCCTTGCCAGTGCTCTGTTGTTAGGTAACTTTTTGTCTGCTTTATCTATTATTATTGTTTTTTTTTGAGATGGAGTTTCACTCTTGTTGCCCAGGCTGGAGTGCAATGGCACGATCTTGGCTCACCGCAACCTCTGCCTCCTAGGTTCAAGTGATTCTCCTGCCTCAGCCTCCTGAGTAGCTGGGATTACAGGCATGTGCCACCATGCCTGGATAATTTTGTATTTTTAGTAGAGACGGGGTTTCTCCATGTTGGTCAGGCTGGTCCGGAACTCCCGACCTCAGGTGATCTACTCGCCTCGGCCTCCCAAAATGCTGGGATTAGATGTGAGCCACAGCACCCGTCTGCTTTATCTATTATCTTTCAGTCTAGATTGTAATCTTCTTGAGCAGGCACTGTGGCCATCTGCTTCTTTGTACCTGCCTTTATACAGAACATTGCTTGGTGCCATTCACATAGTGGCCCTTATCAATATTTGCCAAGTGAATTGATTTCTATTCACAACGATCCCTGTGGGGTTAAGAGCTGGAGAAGGGACTTGAACAATCACTTTCGAATTGGTCAGATTTGAAATCGAGAGGTTTGCAGACTTGTCCTTGGTCTCCTAGTGAGATGGGTTAGGTAGAAAAGTATTAAATCACAGGTAGTTGACTGCTGTTCAGGGGACTTGGACAAGGGAGTAGGTGCAAGAGAGAAAAATGATCTGTTTTTCAGGGTCAGCTCTGCAGCATGTTTGAAACTGACTTTCTGCACTGCTGTTCATTCTTCCTTCATAACTGGGTGTGGGGAGGGGTGGGATCTACTTTTTACAACTCAGCCATGTAGCAGAATGAATGGAATTTTCCAGATGGTTCCTCTTGATGACTGTTGGCATAATGGCAGCTTTGCCCCCTGGGAGTCATTGGGCTGCAATCCCTGAAGCCTAGACAGCAGTTTCAGCAGGTCAGATTGTGGGATCTCTGTGTTTTTGTTGGCACAAAGAGCCACATGGGATTTCAAGCCATAAATACTGTTTTTATTTTCCTCATACAGCTCCCTACTAAATGTTTTGAGCAATGAGGTCAAAGTGAGGAAAGTGTCATAACCCTTCTCCTCAACACACATATACATCCATTCCAAATATAGATTCTCCTGCCTCAGTCTTCCGAGTAGCTGGGACTACAAGCATGCGCCACCATGCCCAGCTAATTTTGTGTTTTTAGTGGAGTTTCTCCATGTGTTTTTAGGTTTCTCCATGTTGGTCAGGCTGGTCTGGAACTCCCGACCTCAGGTGATCTGCCCGCTTCAGCCTCCCAAAGTGCTGAGATTACAGGCTTGAGCCACCACGCCCACCGTCTGCTTTATCTGTTATCTTTCAATTCCTTGGCACTGGGTACCTTGCTGAATGAGAGTCTGGGGTAATCTGCTGGGAACAACACATTGCTTCAGAATTTTTCTGAATCTACATGCCCACTGTGAAGATGAGTTGATGCTTTCTTTCTCCTACCCTGAGAGCCCCCCTCCTCCTGGATAATCCTGCTTTTGTTTTCAGGCAAAAGAGGCTCTTAGAGTGTGAAAGGTTGCTGCGGATTTCAGGACACGTGAGCGCATAATAATATCTCCCTCTTATAATTTTCCCTGTTCATTTGTGAGTTGGCCACTAATCTTCATAATACCCAGTAAACACAGTTGCCCAAGAGGCAGGTAGACCAAAGGGGTGAATCTGGGCTGACACAAATTCCCATGGACGTGAAATTGTTTGCCTTACTGTGATGGGCCAGTTTTTTTTTTTTTTTTTGTCTCTGTATCTATTACAGACGTTATCTTCCAGAGCCTCCTTTGCTTAGAGCCACGATTTCTTTAATCTCCAGGTTGGAAGACTTCACGTGGGATTAGGAATTGTCACTGTGGTAGAATCAGCCGCTAGTGTGCAAAGGTTGGGAAATGTTAGAACTTTATTTCCCAGAGTCCCTTGCAGTTAGGAATTTGTGGTTGAGGCTCTGCCGGTTAGATGCACTTTGTTGAGACTTGGACTTGAGAGCCCAGCCATGTGTGGAGAGAGGGAGGGCCGTGGGGATGTGTGTTTGCTTGTGCAGACTGCCACAGTTGTGTGGTTCTGGAGCAGCCAGCTGTGGCAATGGCTCCTCATTCAGCAGGCAGCTTCCTGAGCCAGCAGCTCCTTGGTGGCCTAGTTCTGTGGCATGGATTTGGAAGTCATTCCTGGAGTCAATCTAGAGTCACTTCCTCTAACTAGTCAACTCCCCTCCTTAATACTGCATTAATACTTCTGTAATAAATCCCACTTTGTAAACTTGCTCATATAATGCTTCAGCTGCAAAGCTATAATTTGTTTTACATTGTTCATTTGTTGACTGAGACAAAATAAGATGGTTGGAATGTTTTCCTTGACTTTGATTTTATTATGAACGTCTATCAAAGCCAGTTTTCAACTATCCTGTCCTTTTTTGCATGCTTTCCCTTGTGATTATAGAGAACCTTATGTTGTACTTTTTCCCAGAGTGTGATGGAAGTTTTCCCCAGTTATATTGACATGTCCAATCATAGAAGTAAAGATTCCATCTTCTTTGACCTATTTACTCGGAACAATGCCATGTGCCAATTCATGGAATTCATATATCACCTCTCCATAAAAGTATAGAGTACTGTGTTATTAATAAACATATAGCATGTGATGCACATATACCCTGAACCTTTTAACAGGCACAGAAAAGGCCTGGGAGAAACATTTTGCATTTATTATCTGTTAAGACATCAGTACTGACACTTCATTTTCAACAAAAGTGCACTGCCCTGTATGAGTCATGCTTACCATATTTCCTGACATCTGGGAGTTGACTTAATAGATGCTAATGTGATGTTATCACCAAGGTGTCAGGCTACCCTCTTCTCCTTTGGTTCTATTTTTGCCCTAGGTTTGCTGACACTTTGCTATGAAAAATGAATTCAGCCATTGCAGGAATGCACAGTGCTGGCTAGAAAAGCACTGATTTAACTGGGCAAAACTGTGCCCAATAACTGTAAACTTAGAAAATATATTCCTTCTCCCAATTCTTTGAGTTCTTCATATAGACACAGCTACAAGGGCAGAGCAATTAGAGAAGTCAGACTCCAAGCCTGAATGAAGAGTGTTTTCTCATTTTGCCAGTTCTGTGGGAAAGCTCTGCTGTGTGCTGGCTGCCCAAGGGCAAGGTGCCTCTTGGGGAACAAGCATTTCTGAAAGAGCAACAAACATTCTAACTCAAATTCAGAACTAAAAAACTTATTTATTGAGGGCAAGGGGATGCAAACAATACAAAAATCAAAAGCTTGTCTGGCATTTAACTTTTCTTTCTCTGCTTATCAGATGGGAGTTAGATTTTATTTGTACACTTGCTCAGGGTCCTGATCTGCTCATGAAATCCTTACATGGGGGAAGCTGTGGGGCAGATTCCTTAAGTGACCCTTTGGGACAACTGTTATCAGGGCCAGGGGAATTCCTCGTTTCTGCCTACTTCTTTCCCTTCTGCTTCATGTGTACTACAAAATAGTCATTGCATGCAATGGTGAGGCCCGCAATTAGGGAAAAGAAGCTCTGGAAGCCCACTTTGCCGTCTCTGCACTGGTCCAGGTCCTTCATTATTTTGTCCACGGCCAGAGGGTCTTTTTGATTCTGAAAAAAAAGAAAAAAAGAACAAAGGCAAGAAATATCAGTCAAAGGTTGCAGTGATGAGCTTATTTGATCTGCACTGCTGAGAGCTGTGTACACATCTCCCAATTATTTGAGCTCTTGTTTTAGGTCATAAGTAACCTTTGGAGGTCATCTAAATGTATTTTTCTTTTTTTGCCTTGAGGGAGCATTTTAGTAATTTCATATTTAGATTCTGCCTAAGAACCACCCTAAAATCCTCATTTTGTGGTTTAAACTTACATTCTCTTTTTTTTTAAGATGGGGTTTCACTCTGATGGCCAGGCTGGTCTTGAACTCCTGACCTCAGGTGATCCACCCACCTTGGCCTCCCAAAGTGCTAGGATTACAGGCGTGAGCCACTGTGCCAGGCTTACTTATTCTCTTATTAAAATTTTATTCCTAATAGCATGGTCAAATCCCTTAAAAAGAGAACTCCTCATGAAAAGATCTTTATGATTTAGGGAGTAAGTTTTGGATCATTGTCCTATGGATTTTAAAGGGGTATTAATGATGCCATGGGTCGTTTTAGGTTTGGAGAAGACAGCTCGCATTCTTCTTGGCACAGCTGAGGCCAACCTAGTGCGGCTTCATATCATATTAGCCGTGTGACACTGAGTGAACCACACAGCTTGGTGGGCCTTCGCGTATCAACTATGAATTGAAGAGGTTGGACTATAATGTTTCTAGAATCCTTCCATTCTTTGAGTTGGTCAGTTTAATGCCATCCTATACTCTTTGCTGGATGTTGTATATTGGACCGGCTTCAAAAGGAGTATATATGATGGAGTCTTAAACTCCCCATGACTCTCAGTGCCTGGTAGAATGTGTGGGACAGCCAGGTGCAGTGGCTCAAGCCTGTAATCCCAGCACTTTGGGAGGCAGAGGCGGGTGGATCACGAGGTCAAGAGATCGAGACCATCCTGGTCAACATGGTGAAACCCCGTCTCTATTAAAAATACAAAAAAATTAGCTGGGCGTGGTGGGGCGCGCCTGTAGTCCCAGCTACTCGGGAGGCTGAGGCAGGAGAATTGCTTGAACCCGGGAGTGGAGGGTGCAGTGAGCCGAGATTGCGCCACTGCATTCCAGCCTAGCCTGGCGCCTGGCAACAGAGCGAGACTCCATCTCAAAAAAAAAAAAAAAAAAAAAAAAAAAAAAAAAAAAAAA